TTATAATTTTCATTTCAGTTATCTAACATTAATATTTTCACTGCTTAGACTTTACATTACACTTAGTTCGCCGGTCTGCTTAAATCACTGGGCTACCGGAATTCCTACCCATCAAAATGATTAAACTCATCTACACTTACTGTTTTAACTGTGCATTTGTATTAAATGATCAATACGTGAACTCACGTGTATATTTAATTAGTTTTCCACTATACGCTATGCAACTTTTGAAGCAGGTGAAGGAAAAAGTGTACAGAATTTCTTTTCTCTTCATATGCAACAAAACTACAACAAATGATATACTTCATATTATTGCTTTACATGTAATTTCCGTATGAAGAGGAAATATTTGGAACTAAATACTCTGAAAATCTCTGTAATATATTTATCGTGTATTTCCTGTAATAAAGCTTTATTATTATTTTTTTATTTGAATGTAAATATATCTAGAGAAAGAATTACAATCAATGAGAGACCATTCTTTAGATATGATAGAGAAGATTTGTAGCTCAGGTGGATGATTTTGATGTGGTTTTGTTCTCTGAGCTGGATAGTTAGTTTGCGAAGCTTTCATCACCTTACTGGGTGACATCTTCAGCGCATACTTCAATTTGAAGTGAGCTTTTAGATTTCTCCACGAGTTTATTAATCATCTCTCCTGGTGACCTTGGACGTGATTGGTTGTTTGTGTGTGTTTTCACACCTTCTAGGTTACTTGTATTGGAACCGGTTGTTTCTTTGACTTGAACTTTGACCCTTTGTGTGTGAAGTTTCTTTCTTATTGGTTGATAAATTTTGTCTATCTCGATGTGTCTATTGATTGATGATCCACTGGAATGCCAAGCTTCTAAAAATTCTCTAGCATTCTTGTTATTTCCTTTGTCTAATATTTGAACGTTGTCCCAGTCGAATTGATGTCCGTAGTTGTCTGTGTGTAGTGAAATGTGAAAACACACACAAACAACCAATCACGTCCAAGGTCACCAGGAGAGATGATTAATAAACTCGTGGAGAAATCTAAAAGCTCACTTCAAATTGAAGTATGCGCTGAAGATGTCACCCAGTAAGGTGATGAAAGCTTCGCAAACTAACCATCCAGCTCAGAGAACAAAACCACATCAAAAGACCATTCTTTGCATTATATACAAAAGTCCTTAAGGTTGATGATAACTGGATATAAGTCTTCTTAATTGCTATCCTTTCTTCAAGTAATTTGTCACTGTCAGTATATACTTGATAGCTTCGTTATACCTTTATACCTGCTGGTGTGAAAACACCAAATTATGTTGTAATATTCTTGAAGACAAAACATTCTAATTTATTAAGTTTAACTGTAATGTCTACTCAAACCTTTTAAATACTTTATCAGTGAATATATACTCCCAGGTTTTCCAGTGGTTCTCTAACTGATGTCAGCTCATGATCAAATCCTCCATGCAATCAAACAAAATCCCTACAACAAACCAATACTTAAATATATATATCATCAATACTTCCTATACGATTCAGATGACTGGCTCAAGTGTCGCCAAAAGCAATTCCAGCAGTCTTTTTTAGGCTTTTATCAACAGCAATCTCGGTATTGAAGAGCATACAGCTGACCAGAAAGGATACGCAAGAAGAAACCTTGACACAGAATCAGTCGAAAAACATGCTATATAACAAATCCTTAGAAGGAGATGGAGATGGATTAAATATATGCGAAGGAAACATTCAAGTGACTTCACACACCAGTTTGTCAAGTGAAACGTGACTGAGGGGTGATGAATTGGACGTCTGGAAGGTGTCACAAAGGAGATCATGTGAAGGGGGAAATAAAAGGTTGTGAGCAGTCGTTGAGACAGTTGGAAGTGATGACAGAGGGCATCATACAATAGAGATATACTGCTTTAGCCTGTGTTCCAGTCGAAATAGAAGGAACAAAGAATAGTAGATGATACATATGCATATGCACAATTCATTATACGTCACAGCTTCTATATTAATACTAAATATTCAGTAATGTGAGCATCTTGCGGGTTCAATCTTCGAGGACTAATATAAGCAGAGTTAATTATTTTTCTGTTTTGTATAAAGTGAAAACTAAACAAAGCTGGAAATTGGTAGTCATATGCAATGAAATAACTTTTAGAAACGGTCTATATCTAAGACAAGTTAAGACCAGTGTAAGCCTTAAAAGTGAGTGACAGGAATCCCGTGTATTGATTCAACACTTACTTAGTCTTATGCGTTAAACAATTTCATAAAATCTTAAAAGATTATTTGAAATAAATTCTTAATATAGTTTGGTAGGTGCATATGAAGAAATCTTCAAACAACTGTTCAAGTATTTAAAGTCAGTTAAAAAAGGTTCACTTACAGTCAATGTTCTTTGAATTCAAAAGATTAAACAATCATTTTAAGTTGAAGTATGAAGCGTTTATGTTAAATCATTCTGAAGCAAGTATTACAGTACAGTACAGCATTACAAAATTTCTATGATTAAAAGCTTAGAGTAAACAAGAATCCTAAAGAATATTTATTAGAAATAGACATTTTACGTATTTAGAATCCATATTCAATATATAAATTAATAAACAAAACCCAAATATTGGATTCAAATAAATAAGAGAAAACAATTTAACATAATACTTCTCACACAAACTTATTCATTGAGTCTAACACAGCAAAACAGAGAATTTTTAATTGGACACTAGCCAGTAAGTAGTGAAATGTGTCTAGTTCTATCTTTGGTGCAACCTGAATTCTGTCAGTCAAGTTTGCAATGTGGCCACCATGCCAGGTGGCTCGCCATCACCGTTGCACTTTGAATTGTTGCTATTAGATGGTTGGAAGTAATCAAAAATATCCAGTACAGTCCTGCAGAAGTTCAATCGCTACCCTGAATAGCTCAGTGGTAACGTCTCAGACTTCAACACTGGCTGATGTGAGTTCGAATCTCAGAAGGAATATGAATTCCTTTGAGGTTGCAGATACGCCTTACTGACTGGTGAGTGCCAACGTCCAGGGCTAGGCTTCCTGTCAATTTCCTCCAACCATCTAAAACAGAGTATTATTCGAATGATGCTGACTAGCAGTGGAATCCAGTACGCACAATCCGTCCTATTTGTGGCTCATCAGCTGGATCTCAGCTGCATATCCAATGAGTGATGGTGTACTCACTGAGGGTCAAACCATACTTTGGCGTCCTAGACGGTATGTGTGGTTAGAGTTTCAGTGGGTAGACCATCATTCACTGGAAATGAAGTTTAAATCCATATGATGAGCCCCCTAAATAGGAAAAACTGCACATCGTGGGTTCTCCTGCTATTCACTATCACATAAATCCCTAGATGTCACCAGAGCATCTGTACTCGGAGCCGAAATGTCAACAGACTTCGAGCACTTCCGTAGGACATTAAAAATCAATGGGAAATGCAAATTAATCCTCCAACTAATTTAAAGATGAAAAATAGAGTATTTTTGGCTAAATAACAATTCTTAAGAAATTCAATATGGCTGAAAGTGATGCTGAACTAAATATTTGTTCATTTTATGGTAAACTTAAAGACATCTTGAAACATCATAGACAGACGGATTTTTTGTTTGCTACAGAGATTTTTAAGATGAGTTCAGAGGTTTAATTTGATGATTTTGGTCATGATCATGAGGCAATCATTCAATCAAAGCTTATTACAGAATCCTTTCCTAACGTAATCAAGAACAGATACGGACAACCCAAAGAAAATTGGAAAAAGCAGGCGCAAAGGTGTTTGATGATATTAGATGGTTGGAGGCAATCGGCAGGAAGCCTTGGACACCATCTAGGTTTCATGGTAGTTGGCACTCATCAGCAAGGCGTATAGACGCATAGGTGTTTACAATCCATATCTGGAATCTATTAATTTTCAGCATGTTTACTTTATCGGCTAGTCGCACTTTTGTCTTCTAAATCTTTTTCACTGATTTTGCAACAAAAGTCAACTTTTTTTTGACTATATCATGACAACTGTTATGAAATCATATTTTAGTGCGGTTAATTAAATCTGGCGAGAGTAAGTTTCCATGGAATAGGAATCCCTTCACCATTGAACTCTCGACAGCAGTGACTGTTTCAAATAAAGTTTATCAGAAGCGTATGTAGACACCAGAATATACAGCATTCTTACTACAGTACTTAATTACACTTTTCTTTTTTTACCTTTCAAACCCCTTGAATATAGTGACTACATTATTATTAATTTACGTGGTTTTAAGCTTCATTTGGTATATCATTGGAGTTTGGAAATTTTGATATCCCTCTGTGACTTAGTGATCTGACCATGTCAAGGACGCCTTCATTTACCTTTCTTAAAACCTCCATGATCTGTTTCATTATAAACCTTTCCTTTTTGCCGGGTTTATTTCCAGCTAAGCGAGGATTGGTAGTGCGTCAGCCAGGGATTTTACTGAACAACCACTTTTAATTTCAAACAACTAGCAATAAGCTACGCCTATTGTTTGCGTGTGTGTGTGTGGGGGGAGGGAGTCGGTAATTCTACCTGGCTGCTCACACCTAGATAGATAGGTGGAGTGGGGTTCGAACCTGTGACCCACTGGTTGGAAGTCGACACGACTCCACATGCAAATATCTATGTAGTATTTGCGAATTCAGATATACGATGAGTTCGGTGGATAATTTCATGTTATCTTAACACTCTCGATATTTTCATTTTCACTGTTTTCAAAATAAATTACTTCTCAAATCATTAAATGATTGGTTATCTGTAAATATTTGATTGTATCTCTCACTCTCTCTCTCTCTTTCTCTCATCATTTCAATGTGTTCTTGATTGAATTATTTTTACAGGGTGATAATAGAGGAACAAGTACTAATAAAAGTAAAAACAATATTATCTATTCCAAGGCTAATTATTATTTTTGAAGTATTTTATTTGTTGAATAAATATGTCATGAGAATATAAAGTTAGAGAAGAGAAAAAAGTACACGGAGAAACAACTTATCATTGGTTGGTTGATAAGTTTACTCTTTTCTATGAGAAATAGAAATTTGTACTTTCGCTGATTAATATATACATTTGATGATATATATATATATATACTAATTTTCTGTGAGCACTAGAAATTTCGATAGCAATTAGTCATCAAATAAGGGAAAAGCACAATATAAACAATACGCCATTGAATCCTTAATAATAGATATATCTTACCCAAAGCAAAATTTCACTGTTATCAGTTGGAAGTAGAGACATCTGTGAATATAACTATTACTAATTGCTCTCCTAACATTATTTGTTCAAATGTCAACAAAATTTCAATACAATATTGAACAAGAAAGTCAAGATATCATATCTAGGAAGAATACACCAGAAAATATGACTTCTAATACAGCATCCATTTCAACCTCCTCATCATCTTCAACATCATCTTCACCACAACCACCATTATCATTATCTAAACATGAAGAAGTTAAAAGTACTGAAGAGAATTTAAAATCATGTGTTGCAAATAAACAACAAACAGTTCGACATTCTTTAACCAATACTAATCGAACTCCAGTATACTATTTAAGTCGAGGAAATAATTCACAACTGTAAGTGGATCAATAACTGGCTAATAATTAACATTTTTTTATTGTTGATTGTTTTACTTCTATAGAACAAATAAAACATAAATGAAGAGAATTTTGTAGGTTGAAAGTATATCTAGACTAGGTCAAGGTTTTATTGAACGACTGATCTCATTCAATGTACATGTTGCTAGGAGATGAATTAAAGCAATACATCTTATCATTAGTAAATTTTGTTGTAGTTCAGATATAAGCTTAACTAACGAAATGGTTTGCAAACCTGAAGATTATGAGCTTCATACCTTTTGAAAAGCAAACTATTGAAGAGACAAAAACTAGAGTCAAACAGCTGTTCATTTCTTCTCGGTTCGGAAATGTTCTGTAGCTGTTTTTGCACTTATTAGGTAATCCTTGTGTGTAAACTTCATAAACATCTTGTGCTTTACTATCCACTACCTATAACTCACTGAGCAACTCAACAAAGGAAATGACAATAATCACAAATACCTATTAGTAAGAGTATATCTTTAAATATCAGGTAGCTTTTTATTTTTTTATTCAGTTTTGACTTCCCCGTTGACTCACTGAACAGTCTCTGTTGCCATGTCGGCTGTTAATGCGGACGTCTCGAAGTCACTAGTAACCATTTAGTCCTACTTGGGGCCTATCAATTGAATGGACTTACATCTTATTGGATAATACAGTGGCATGTTAATCAGTGGGTTGTAGGTTCGAGTCTCGGTGGGGACATCATCAGTTACTAGAGAGAGAGAGAGATGTGTATTCCACTGGCAAGTCAAAAACAGTGCGAAATACACATCTGTAATAGTGTTTCTTTTAGATTTTTCCAGAGGTTCAAAGATAGAGAGATTAACCATGAAGTCATATTCAATTTTTGAAGTTTAGGATATATGAGAATGCTTGAATTAAAAGAAAAGTGGAAAGAAGAGTATCTTGTGTTCGATAGTTATATTGATATAAACTATTTGATCTAGTGATAACATTTTCATTCATACTCACCTCTTCAAAACTGTGACTGTCATTTCTTGATAGCAAACAAAATGAATGTAGACATATTGATGAATAGCGCCAGCTGACATATGCGTAATGTTTTACACTCCATCTAACTGTTTAATATAGTCACAAACTGTAAGGTATCATTGTAAAAAGTTTTAACACGCGTACACTCAAAAGAATATCACATAAAAGAATTCGAAATGATGACGAAATAAAATCTAGATGGCGACAGGAAATTTTCCAAATTCACTTATTGACTAGTTGTTAATTCCTCTATCAAAAATTTAATTTCGCCCAGTAAAACAGTTAAAAATGTGAAAAAAAGGGTGACATTTCAAAGCTTTGTAGTTATATTTACGAATGAGCTCAGGTAGCTAATAATCACTTTGCTACTGCGTCTGCATTTCTATTTAAAAATGAATGAAATTAAGTGAAAACAGTAAGATTAGGCGTAATCCTGTGTTAGATCAGAAGATCGATCGATATTGTCTCGTAAGGATAGATATTTATCTCATTTATATGGATATTTCAGTTCTTCATAATTTGTTCAACACTGACCACTACGACACCCGAATTTATAATCTGTGAGCATAGATTGGTTCATATATTCCATGAGTATAATTTTTTCTGAAAATTAGTTTCATATGTGAGAGATTTTATCCACATTTTCTAGTTGGTGAATGTACAGAAGAATGATTAGTTGAACAAATCGAATTTGCATTTTGTAGAATAATTCGTAATTTGCAATTTATAAACAGTTCGATGTGATTACTTCTCTACAGTTTCTTTTGGAAACCGAAATTATTTAGATCACAATATGTGTGATCTGCATAATACCATAAATAGCAACCAAGAATGAAAGAATACATGTATGATGCTTTATACTACTGACTGATGTTCATGAGTAGTTGGAGAGCCCTTAAATCAACCAGTAATACCTGCTAGGCAGATTAAAGTGGTCAAAGCACTAGACGGTCATTTAACTCTTTCGAGGGTAAGCTTGTCAGAGGTGTACTCTGTTCGACTTAGCTCAAGATAGCTGAACCGGTCCACACCATCCGAAGTCTGACTAGCTACTTGGGTGAACTGGTAACACGTTAAATTAAATTCACGGATCGATCAGTAAGTAGTATGTGTATATTTACATACCTGTACTAAACACAAAACAAAAGTTTCCTTAAATGTAGTGCTAATGATTTAATTAAAGACTACGTACAAAAAAGGTGAAGGTAGGAAGGAAGTTTATAAAGTACTTTAAGAAGTACATTCCTTTAAATGGGAATAGTGCATCTGTGATACCTTGTAACAGTTTTAAATTAATTTAGTCTAATGACCTGTATGTACGCACATATAACAGTACAAACTTTTAAAGAGCGAATTAACTATTTGTATTTACATTTTACAAGTAAAGTTTTAATAAGAAGCAAGACAGTCTTTATTTAACTGGAACGTTCAAAAGGTTTCTTCATATACAATGTAAACTTTTAATCTTGTAATACAATTTGGATTTGTTTTAAAAATAATCTTAATTGGATCGCAAATTTATTATCCGGGATCGAAGCCCGGAGCACTTGCGTGGTCGGCGAGCACTCTACGACTGTGCCACCAACACACTCTCCCATTGTTAACTAGTTGTTATACACCTCCTAAAAGTTGCGATGACATACGAATCCATAACATACTAATAATCAAAATATCCGAATCATTATTTTGACTCCGATTTTAAATACAATTGAATTTGTTATTACTTTTGAACCTTACAAAAAATGAGGGTGATTGAAATAGTGAAAATGAGTGTTTTCACGGTTAGAGAATCCTAGGAGCAGAATTTACTGCAGTTACAGTTACTATGTAGTTTATTGGATTACACAGTTACATTGTGGACATTCCCCTTTAGATTTGGCTGAAAGTACATAAAGTTCTGGAATATCTTTAAGAGCTTGATATTGTTAGATAAATCGAGTTTTACCTAAAAGTAGTTTATTATCTGAATTTCCAATACAGACTTAAAGTTTTCTTCAGAATACCGGATAACTTTAAGGTTCATGATTCATTTGATTGAATCTGTTGACATCCATCCAAAGAGTTGTACGTGCTTTATAGTGCTATATAAGAGACTAAGGTAGACAGTAATTCTTCAAGCTCATAACTTTCTTAAGCAGATACTGTAAGAAGTTAATTTGAATAAATACTTATCAAATCACGGAATATACACATTTGATCATTATTATTATTATTATTATTGTATCCTTTAGTTCCTAGAGGAACATAGGGCTTCAGCTGCGCACCTCCATTGACTTCGGTTTTCTGACAACTTTTTCACCCCGCTCCAGGTCTGTCCACATGCTTTCATCTCCTCTCGCATGACCTCCTCCAAGTCACCCTTGGACGACCAACTCGCCGCCTCCCTTTCGGGTTCCACTCGAGGAATAAATAATAAAATAATAATAATAATAATAAAAAACGCCGGTTTCAGTGAAGAAAATTTTCTTTTCGACGGAGTCATCAACTAGGTTTTACATCCATGTATTTATAATAAATGGGTGGGAAAGACCCAGAATAACTTCCGGTCAATCGGGAAATAAATAAAATTACAGTTATGAATTAAAATGCCATAATGAACAGAGGGAAGGATAAAACTCAAACAAAGTAGCATCATAATTACTGAGATGATTGACATATTGTGTAATTAGGAGTTAGAAATGTAGAAATAACAAAAATGGACAGGATGTTTGGATTAAAAATCTAATGGGATCATAACTAATGTAACGAATAATTGTTTATGAAATTAGGGATTAAGTATGTAGAAATAATAAAATGGCAAAATAAACAGGAAGTTTGGATAGGAAAATACGGTAGTATAAATAGGGATTAAGATAAACTTAAAAATAACGTGAATAAACAGGAAGTTTGGATAAGAAAGGCAATGGGATATTCACTATTAAAAGAATTACTTGTGTATGATGGCCATGGCAGAGACAGTAGAATGAAACTGCTATTCTTGCATTCCGCATAATAGCTTAATTTAGTTAGTGATCAATAATTAGTTTATTGGGAAGTTTAGGTGAGTTTTCACAGCTTCAGTGGAGCGTCGGTGGCACAGTGGTTAGGACTCTCGCCGACCATGGACATGGTCCAAGGTTCGATCGCCTGCTGACGCACACCTGATATCTATTGTCGGCCTGCAAAATTTGGGCTACCGATATCCACGCTGAAAATTCCATATGTGTACCAAAAATACGGTGTGGAATCAAGCTGTAATCAAAAATAAAAAAATTGATTCTTATGAAACTGATTCTAAAATTTTACAAACAATAAAGACAGAAATACTGAAAAAGAAACAGTTTCGGTAGCTTCAGTGATGTTCCTATTTCACAGTCGGCAATTCTGAAATATTTTCAGCGCTCCTTTACTCCTAAATCCTTTACTCATATAGATTTGTGCGTGACATTTTGGGCATACACTTAGTCCTGTATGAGACAAGTAAACTGTTTATATCTGTATACAGGTGTGATGTTTTAACCGGTGAATCCCTACTGATCAGACTGATTGTCATTTTGTCATTTATTTCTGCGAGATTTTGTCATGTCAGTTGCAATGAAATGGTAATATGAACTTTTTGGCGGCAGAGTGTCAAAATAGACCGGTAAATTCAACTCAGGAAAATCAATAGGAAACAGTTAAAATATACAATGAAATATTATAGCAAAATGAAAGAGGCATCATAACAATAATAGTCGGATAATAGAAAACATAAATTTGTTCAAAAATATCCCAAAATATATAAATAGATAAAGCAGAAGTGAATTTAGGACTGTTAAATCATCGCTTACAGCCATATATATATGTGCGAAAAGAGAGTATGAAAAAAGCGCTTTTGTAGGTTTAAAAACTTGGAAAGATTGCGAAAATGCACTGAGTCAATGGAAAGATAAAAGGTGAGGCTAGATGACAACTGGTTGCGGACTGTCAGTTATTTACTATCCACTACATAAAACTCTTACTAA